AAATGGTCCAAAAGGGCCACAATCTTTGAAAAAGGACGAAAAATCGTTATATCTGTAAATCTGCTTCTAATGGTATAAGGGAGGTAAAACTGTCCAATGGATCTTTCTGAAACTTCTGGTACAGGAAGTTAAGTTCCCATTAAACTTGTTAAATCTATCCCGATAATGATCCGTAAATTGGAAGTAGTCAACAAAATATTTGATATTATTTTTTTTTTAAAAAGACAGTAAAAAATCGGTACTCTTGCAACAATCCGGATTTCACCGTCGGGTGTGACCGGATCAAAACATCTAAAGTATCGTTTGGTAGCTCGATAAATGGGCTATTGTATGACACACTTCCTGTCTAATTCCTGAAAGCCGGTTCAGTGCTGCTTGCAGGTCTAGTTATTATTATTATTTTTCCACTTGAGCATATCTCAGAAACTACTTGTCGTATTGATTCGATGTCTTCGGTTTTACTGGGAAAGACTTAAATTTTAAAGCTATTTGAAACGTTCTGCGACAATGACAAAAATGTCCGAAATCACCGAAGTTGTCGTTTTTCGAAATTTTGCCGTAATGTTATCAATAATTGTCGGATTGTAATATTTGATACATTTTGACATAGCCGGAGACAAGGCACATAGCTACAGTTCTTTACATTTTTTATTTTCGACGAATCTTCGGAGATATAAGGCGCCAAATTTTGAAAATTTAAATTTTTACGAAAAACTTTTTTATTAATGAATATTTTTATGTGGTATTTTGCCTAGGGTTAAAGAGTCATCTGATTTGACCAAAAATGGCAACATTTTTTGTCACCGTATTTTTCCTTGGCCCCCATTGGCTAATTCAGTTTTTCAGTCCTGGATTAATTATTTATTGTTTGATTTGTATAAAACAAAGTTCATATGCTCCGTGGTCCAAAATGTCATTTTTTCTTTACCGGTACATTTTCCGTTCGATAGCGTAAGTGACGTAAATTTAGCAAAAACTGCAAATCTGACAGTTCGGTACCACTTTTTGAAAGCAAATATTATTTTTTTCAAATCTGGTATGACTGAAAGGGTGTGCCCTGTTAAGGCGCAAAAATCATCGCGCTCAGTTTTTTTAATTTTTAATTCGTTTTCGGACTATTTCGATTTAAAGGCGAAAAAGGGTGAAAAAATGAGCTATTCACAACCCATTCAGGCTTTTCATATTTTAATATATTTTTTCGAAACTTTCATAAACTAGTAGCAATAATCCATACGAAGAGAATGTATGTGAAAATTAGTTTGTAATATGAGCAGTTGCCGAGAAATGGGCAATTTTGCATGAGTCACCCTTTACGCTAGTTTGCCTGTAAAAGAGTCAATTATTATTCGATGTTCATAAAAGTGACACCATTTGATGCGTAATGTCAATTTTAACAAGGTCAAACCAATTAAACATTTCCAATGTCACCGTAAATGACGTAATTTGGGCAAAAATTGTATTTATAGCCTTCAAAACCAGTATTTTATTCAAATGAGTCATATTTGTTATTTTTTTAAAATTTTGATATTTGATCCCAATCAACCAATAGAATGAACCCATACGATCATATAGATATCACAAAATGGTTTCTAACTTGTTCAGTTGCGGAGAAATAGACGATTTTCAACAGGCAACTTTTTAAGGTTTTTGGTCCCTAAAAGTGTCAATTATTATTCGATTTTCATAAAAAATTTCACTGTGTGATACCTAATGCCATTTACAATGTCATACAAGTAATTTAAGATTTTCCTTATCACCGGAAGTAACGTCATTTTGGCAAAAACTGTATTTTTAGCCTTCAAAACAGATATTTTATTCAAATGAGTCTAATTTGTAATGTTTTTAAAATTATGATATTTGATTCCAATCAACAAATAGATTAAACCCATACGATCATACAGATACCAGAAAATGGTTTCTAACTTGTACGGTTGCAGAGAAATAGACGGTTTTATACAAGTCACTTTTCAAGGTTTTTGGTCTATAAAAGTGGCAATTATTATTCGATTTACATAAAATTTTCTCCATGTGATGCCTTATGCCATTTCTGATTTCATAAAACTAATTTAACATTTTCATTATCACCAGAAGTAATGTAATTTTGTCAGTATCACTTACATGTAACAAATGTATACAATGAATTGATATTGCTGGATTTGGTTGATTCTGCGTACATGTTATTTGATGTGTGCAATGCTAATATGGAAACCTGTTTAATGGTTTCATCGGTACCGGAAGTGACATATGTTCAAGGGTAACGGGGCACTGGTGAAACCTGTCATTACTGCATCGCAGTTCTAGTTGTTATTTGTTTATTAACTACATGTAGCACTCCTAGTCCTTATACCTTATTATTATCCTAATCTGCATGTAAACATATTCTCTTAGAAAGTTTAAATAAGTCAGTGTGTCCCTATTGCAATTATGGAATATTTTGTTCGTCGTGTTGCAATTACTTTTTGATAATTTGATATCAGTATTATAATCAATATTTTAAAGACCATGCATGAGTATAGTGCTAATGAACTCCTATGAAACTACAATATTCTGAAAGCTGAATCTCTAATAGGAATATCAGTCCAAAATGGTTCAGTTTCATTCAGTATTTAAAAAGATATGACGAATTTAAAATTTCATCGAGCTATGTAACAAAATGCTGCCATCTATATTTGTTGTGACAGAATTGATAGGCCTGTTTTCAACCTGACCGAAACTAAGCCAGGAGATTATCTAGCATTGGTATTTTGATTATTTTTTTTTCTTAAATAAATATGTTAAATAATCAGTCTGAGTACATATTAGCGTGGATTAAGATGTGAGAAACTTCCTATTTTCAGAAAAATGAAAATCATACATCATTACTATAAATCTACTATTTAACAAAAGGCAAATGCTTCTAGTTCTACGCAAATATATGGACCGCTGTGATACATTTTAAAAAAAATATCATAATGATTAATTGATAGAAATAAAGTGGATCTCTGAAATACCACTTGAACATTCCCATTAGTTTTCAAATGTTATGTCATGTTTGTTTCGATCCACCCATAGTTACTGTTTACAGGTTTAAACCAATATGGAAATGTTTCTTTATTTATGTACAATGTACAGCCCTATGCCATACATACATGTACAGTGCAACGCGCAGCTGTATAAAGCTTAGTAGTTAGTACTGAACAATTAGGCAGTCATGCAGAATGTTCAGTAAATATTTCTACATGTGAGACATAACTACATGTGAGAAATAACAGCAAATTCAAAAGTGCACTAGGTGTAAACAATTTAACCCAAAATGTCAAAAGTGAATCAATATGTCAGCTACATCTACATGACCCATCCTCTTGACGGTTCAGACTGATGGTACAGTGTCTTACCCTCCCAATTTGTGAGAGAGAGAAATGGGGTTTAACGTCCACTCCACAAATCTAGGTCATTTCGGGACTAACATATGGTTTAATTTCAATAATTCGCTTGTGCATAGGGGTCTTTAGCAGTGGGAGGAAACCGGGGGACCCGGAGAAAGCCCACGAGGTTGGACAGGCGACCCTACTCCTTGTCACGTACAACCGCGGATTCGAAACCACACCAGTCGACTCAATGACAGACTTTATGATACAGCGTGCGCACGCTAACCATTCAGCCATCCACCCCCCTCTCCCAATTTGTAGCCTAGCTCAAAGTGTTTGTGAGCAGAATGTAATAATGGGCTTTAACCTACGTTATTCTCCACACAATACTTTGGTCATTTTCAAACAGACATAATTGTTATTTCTCTGGTAGGAGAATGGCTTTCCAACTGCCAAGAAATCTTTTACAAGCACAAAAATGTTTACACGCATAGACCTTGTTGGGTTTAGGGTTTTTTTTGGTCCCTTCTGAATGGTTAAACACATCTTACGGTAATAATACGAATATCTAATGATTAAATGATAAAAACCTGATAAATGAAAGTAAATTATATTTTGATTGGCATCTATAGCTACTTGAATGATATGCTGATCTACGATGATAAATATTTATGATATAGGCCCTAACCGGGAAAAGCAAGAAACACTGACATTGTAATTTTAGAGGACTTGGTCCCTTAATAAAATCCTGTCAAGTTGTACTGTGATCAGCTATTTTCTCTATCAAATATGAATTGCAATCAATATACCAGTACTTTTATCGCACATGATGCTGTTGGTTGTGCTGTCTAAGCATAATTTAAGTTCATATATTTGTCAAAAGAATGCCAGTGGGCATGATTTCTTTTTTTTACTAAATTGACCTGAAGTCGAAGTGAAATCTTATTGAGAATCAAACTATATACTCAGTTTCGATTTAACAGTGCTGTTAAGTTAAGACATTGAAACCATTTTGTTTAGATCATCGTAAAGGCGAAATCTTTTTGATCCATTATCCCACATACATGTATATTGGGTACACGGTCACACTATAGGACACAGTTAATCAACTATAGGACAAATTAATCAACTTACAACAATTCATTGAATTTAGGAGTATAAATTGGGGCTATAATTTATAAATATAAAGGGGAATTCTCCTCCTCTCCCTTAGATCTTAATAGATCTACCTTTTTTTCTCTCAGAAATGTACATGTTTTTACCTCTACCTTGAACCTTCATGTTTCAAATTTAGTTCACAAATACAATGAATACACAATACAATGAATACACAATACAATGCATCCAAAATATGCCAACATCTACATGTATGGCCTACTGATGGAACTGGTTTTTGCATTTCAACTTCAAGAATTCAATGGAAAAGTATAAACTCAGTGTATAATTAATTGCACAACCTGCTGGTGTACGTACATTTATATATTTAAGTCCATGATATTAGAATTCATCAGCAGCCAGACCGAATATTACCTAAATTGGGCTGTCAGTGTGTGAATTAAATTACCATTTACGTTCTATAAATAACCCAGTTTTTCCCATCACAATAAACAAGACAAATGAATGATGTAAAAGTTCGTATACAAATAATAATACCTTGCTAAACACATAGGCACGACCACTTATCCATCTTAATAACGACAAATATCGTAGACTTATCACCAAAATACTGAATAGAATCGCTGCAACAGTAGAAACATAGAGCAGATCCATTTCTCAGTTTTTAATATGTCTATGGTATTGTATTTGATTCACATTTAATACATCTATTTCTCCTAAAGGCGTAACAGGTTTCAAAGGAACAGACCATGTGACTAGAGTCTCATTTATCCAGACATGGAAGTTTCTGGGGAATCCCGGGGATTCCCTTTCTTTGTTTTCAGGAAGTTCTTGTAAGAGTGATTTCCCTTTTGTAAAATGGCGGCCTCCATTAAGTCATTGTGAAACTAGAAATTATTGAATGAGAAAAGGATGTACTAGGTTTGAAAGAAGAGGAATAGGTAATCTTTTTTTTATTCCACTAAATGTTGCCTTTTCTTTGCACAGGCTAACCTCGAAAGATAAACTACTAGACTGTCGGGCGGGAATTTGTTACTTCATCTTGATCAAAATATCTTGTTATTCATTCATCTTTCATAACTCTAAATAAACTCATGTTGTCAAATATATAAAACCTTCATAATTAAGGTTTTCAAGTGATGTAAAAATTGTTAATTAATTTCGTTTTTATTCGCCCACATTGAAATGTGATCGTAGTCATGTGGTCATAACGGTATCACGTCATTTGGGACTCAACATAAACGACATTTGGGACTCAGTTGACGACGTTTGGGACTTGATTGGCGTCAATTGAGACTCAACACAAACGACATTTGGGACTCAATATAAGCGATAGTTGGGACTATTTATTTATGAGATATATAGTAACAGCTGTCTTAGTTGTCTTTCGTTTTATTTATTTGATCGGTGATTGTTGAGACCTCGATTAACTCTGCTAGTGCTAGTTCTCCTTTGTTTTGTTTTATCTGCGAGTATAAAACTTGACAATAATATATTGTTGAAAATTTGTGTATATTTAGTAATACTTCGTTGTTTTTCTTTTATCAAATAATAATCAAGCTTGATTGACCGTCCACTGCTAATGTTTTTTCGTGAAACGGTATAACTGCAATCAACACACGGCCGCCATTCTTGATGATTCAATTGATTGACAACTCACGTTTTTCCTCATCCACCAAAGAACCGTTAGGTTTCTTTGAACATACTGCAATAACATTGGGATTATCAGTTAATCAGCTTTAATTATCCCGCTTTGATCGTTGCGATTTCTTATATTTTCCACAAAAAAACTTTGCCTTGTACGCACTAATTTATCGATTGGTATTGCCAACGGATTGTCGTTAACAATTTCTAGGGGCTTGTAAAAAAGATTGCATGTTGTGTAAATATTTATTTGTTTTTTTGTGTAGGTCAATTTCAAATAAATTCATCAGCATATTATTCGTTTTAAATAAATATATATATTATGAGGAACGATGATTATCAAAGAACCGTAAGTGCAACTAATGTTTTATCGTTTGGTTGAGCCTTTTACTAACCACGTGTTTCATGTTAATAAATATTTTCTTTCGTGTTTTGAATTGGCCTATTTCTAATAAATTATCCCGAGTCCCAAACGACTTATACCAAAGTCCCAAACGTCGTATACCCGAGTCCCAAATGTCGTGGTCATATTTTTTTTAGTCCCAAATGACGTGAGTCCCAAATGACATGTAATCGTCATAACGGCCCTAAGCCATAACTGCCAAAATTGATTTTAAAGCGGCCTGACTTATTAAACTAATAAAAGGTTACAAGGTAGAGTGGTTCAATGGTCAATTAATTGTCCTTATAATATGTAACAGGCATTGCCTGAGTAGAGCGAAGCTGATGTGATTGTTGTTAAATATAAAACCTTCGCAATTAAGTTTCTCAAGTGATAAAGTAATGTTAAATAATCTTGTTTTTCGAACTGATTTTAATTTACATCTAAATTGTATGATTAATTTTGTTTTAAAAACAAAAGAACATTAAAGTGTGATAATTATTTTCATTGACGTCAGAAATATGTGACGTCATTGATTAACATGTCATAAAAATGTTTCTATTAGATGCATAATCTTGCTTGGGCGAGATTTGGTAAGTTGGCATGCGCATTGCCATTTTTGCCCAGTGTATCCGGTTCCGGTCTGAATTTTTTTTTAATCAAAAGTCTGTGGTGACAGTTTTAGTTATGCTCCTGTGTTACCGGAAAAGCGCTTTGCTCAAGCACCGCACTTCGCGCAAGCACCGCACTTCGTGCGATGCTTTAGAGCTTCGCTCTATATAAACATACACAGTTATCTACCTGACTGCACCGTCCGTGAGATTTTCTGAAGTGAGCAAAATGTTGTCCCGCGCACATGAGTTTGGATGTCGCAGCAAATATACGTCACAAGTAGCATTCCACATGGTATTATACAAACATGTATTGGTATATAAAGCCAAGTAAAAATACACTCATTACTGGTTTCGACTTTCGTGTTTATTTAATAGCAAACATGAGCAAAAATTTCGATTGCACTCTTTGATTTAATTTTTGATTTTGGCGGTTTGGGTACAGAGCTAACTGTAATAGCTTCGTTTCATTTCTAACTTTTAAAACCATGAGCGTGGCAAGATAAACACATTAGGGCTGGACGATATTTTCGATAATTCGATAAATCGCAATATTAAAATTTGAATTCCGATATTTTATAAACCACCTAAAAAATCGCGGTATAATGATATATCGTATTGTGTGTTTTTCTATCAATATACCGGTATTTTACACGATATAATCACAATGTTATGTGCTGTATTTGGGATGGGATTGACATCAAACAATTTACAACATTACGTCACAATCGATGACTCAGATGACTTGTCACTTGTTCATTGACAAGGCCTACTAAATACATGACTAGTCTAGTAGTTTTCTCGATTATTAAACTTGATAAATAAATATATAATTGAAATTTATTATTTAATTTATAGAGGCATTCCCCTCTTGCCGTTGGAATTTGTCATTATAATGTCAAACCCGTCGCTAATGCTGTGCAACACTCGAATAACCAGCCAAGTAAGTCATGGCGTAATATCTTCTTGTCGCCGTCTTCGGTCAATTTATCATTGGCACTGTTGGGAAACAGTTATTATCATTTAATGTATGATGCCGTTTGTTAGTTAACTATCATTTTGTGTGTGTGTTTGGGTGGGGTTTTTTTTGCCAATTTTTAAACTGAAGCCGATTTAAATAAAAGTAAAATGTTATTTGTAAATAAAACTAAATTGCGTCTAGATATTTGAGATTTAGACAAACTCCAGAGTTATGCGCCGTTGTAGTGTACCGAATAGGAAAAATTACGTCTGGTTCTTTGAGTCTACTCATACCCACATGTTATTCAACATTTTGAAAGATGGCTGAACATTGCGAAGCTCAAGCTGATCGAACAGTAGTAATAAAGCCTAAAAAACATTGCACGAGTAACCCTTGAACTTAATTGTCGGTCTGTGCTTTTGAAACAGGGATAATGTACCCTAAGGGGGGAGGGACTGACCTGTTTTTAACACTTATATAATCACATCTTTTATAATAAAACTAAAATATCGGGATATTGTGATATATCGCGATATATCGTTAGCTTTTTATAATAAAACTAAAATATCGCGATATAGTGATATATCGTCGTTTTTTTGGGAAATATCGCGATATTTGATTTTACCAATATCGTGGAAGCTCTAGGTTAAAGTTAATATCCAATTGACTTTAAATTTATACACAGTGTTTAAGGTCATAAGACGAAGAATCCTATAGATTTTCAATGATTTCCAATAATTACTGCCATAGTTTTGGCCCTTGATCACTTTGAAAACTCTTGTGGACCCTCTGGAGGCTAAAGTTAATATTCAATTGACTATATATTTATACAGCATTAATAAAGGTCATGAGACAAAGAAGCCTATCAATTTTCAACTATTTCTGATGATTATGGCAATTGATATTAAATGTTTTGTATGCTAAATGTTAGAATAGGACAGAACTAGAAGCCACATGGGTTGTTACTAGTAGTCGTAATCAGATTTTAGTGTGTTGTAAATGTTTTCATTTCTGACAAAAGAACAAAATATGAGAGAATCCTTGTTGACTCCCCGAATGACTTAGCTGCTGTGGGCATATGTTTCTTTGCCTGGCAACCTATCTTTATGACAGATGCCGTTCACTTCCAAATTCAGAATATTATGTTGTATACGCCATCATGTGAATGTGAATAAATATTGTAATCAACCTTTCTGTCCGCACAATAGAGGCTAGAGTTCTACGGTGACATCTAAGTAGAAATTAGTCTAAAGTAGGAGTATTAAAGTATCAATTCACTCTTTGGTAGCTCTTTACGACAGATGTCTGTCAACTGTCAAGTCTGAAACTTATGTTTTTACACACTCACATTTACAATCACATTTTCTGTCAGTGCAATAGAGCACAATTTTTATAAGAATATTCTGAAACTTACAGTTTAAGTTTTGACTCATAAATTGACAGATCAGTTGAATTAAGTTTTCTCCATATATGGCTAAAATAAGACCCCCATGTAATAATATTTTTGTAGATGGTAAACATGATTCTTGTTTGATTTCTTTTTCAGGTACCAATTAGCATTGTTATCAGGAACCAAGATGACATCAATAATAAAACTTCATGTTTTTTCTGGAGCTCTAGATGAATCTCCACCATGTTATCTTCTACAAGTTGATGAATTCAGATTTTTATTAGATTGTGGTTGGAGTGAAAATTTTGATATGACCATGATTAAAGAATTAAAACGGTAAGTATTTTTGTTTTGTTTTAGAGTTAAAGCTATAGGTTGACGTTCTGTGTTCTAATTACATAATCATTGTTTATTCCCCTTTATTAAATTAATTTATCTCATTATTCTGGGGTAGCTGTATTGCAAAATTGACTTGCAGCATTTCAATGTGCAGATTTAACTAACTTTTAAAGTTATCGGCAAACTTGGATATATCTTTAAAATGTTAGATACTGTAGTACAGCCAATTGAATACTTAATGGCTAATTCCTTCTGTGTTGGCCGCGTAACTTTATCAAAATCTGCTACATGTATAATTTGCTGCTTGACATCCAGTGTCAAATCTGTACTGCCGCACTTTGCAGGACGGTCACACATTATGAACACAATATTGTAATATAATGATAGTGATTCTTCATCTTGTGGTAATAATAAACATATTTTTTTCTAATAGTACCGGTAACAGGCAAACAGATGGTACATGTATGGCAGCATCTGAAAGCCTGAATATATGTTTTTAAAGCCTTATAAAGTGAAATGGGGTTTAGCGTCCTACTTTACTGCTCTGACTGGGCTAATGAAGACAGGCATATGCCATTTAGTGTGCTACAGGTATAATGGACAGCAGTTCTGTAGCCAATTCCTAATTCAAATTCCAACTTGTCACAGGTTCTTTTACGTGCATGCCAATGTGTACAAGGGGCCTCAGTTTTCCATCCCATCCAAACGACTATACACTGTTCCTGCCAGGTCCACTGGCACTGTCCTACACCTCTGACAAGGGGAACCACACTTGGCAATCCAGGCCAACACAGGACCTCCAGGTTAGAGAGCCAATGTCTTACTCACTGAGGCATAGTGGCTCCTATAAGGCCTTTAACGGCTATCATTCTTTTCTATCTGATAATATATTTTACACATGTTCTTTCTTTATTTTTTCCAGATATGTAAATCAGATTGATGCTGTATTATTGTCCTATCCTGATAATATTCACCTCGGTGCGTTACCGTATTTGATTGGTAAATGTGGTTTAACATGTCCAATATACGCCACAATCCCTGTTTATAAAATGGGACAAATGTTTATGTATGACTTGTACCAGGTGAGTAGCCTAAAATAACTTCATTTGTTAAATGGTTGAGGCTTTAATGCTGTTGATAGTAGCCGAGGAAGCTATTGGGATATTTTTATGAAGCACTATTTGTGCAGATGTACATGTATATACCATAGTAATCATGCTTTTGTCTCAAATTTCAACGGTGTTTTGTTTGCCATAGTCTTGGTGCTAAGATTGCAAAATCGATTAAAAATAATCAAAACCCATTTAGAAACCATTTTAGACCGTAAAAATGTTCCTCTGAAAGTCAGTTGAAAGATACTGTTATAGGTTATTCTCAAAATTACCCATAAAGCATTTCTGTATTAGTTTATGGATATATTCCTGTAAAATGTCATGTTGATAATTAGAGGTCTACTTTCATTTTAGTCTCAACACAATACATCAGATTTTGATTTATTTACGCTGGATGATGTGGACTTGGCATTTGATAAGATTACCCAGTTGAAATACTCACAGACGGTGACTTTAAAGGGTAAAGGCCATGGCTTACAAATAACGCCGCTACCAGCTGGTCACATGATTGGAGGTACCATATGGAAGATTGTTAAAGATGGAGAAGAAGAAATAGTTTATGCTGTCGATTATAATCATAAAAAAGAACGGTAAGATGATCATTTTTTTTATTCATGTCAAAAATGAGAGCTGCAGATTATTGAAGATACAGATTTTTGTATGTGATGTGGTGTCACAAACAAGATAGTCATATGACTATACAACTTTTTCGTGCACTCATCCCACTCTACAGCTTTGCTTCTTTCTCTGCTTGAGTTATTATTACGTTGAAACAAATATTAAGTAACTTTACACACCTTGGGATGTTATTTCCATTGATCTCCATGCATGTTATGAAAGTACCAACGTCATCTGAGGGTGATATCTGATATCGGATGATTTCACCCTCTGATGATGTCACAATAGGTTTATACCACTCTGCAATGAAAAAGGACACAAATTTTTTCTTTTAACATTTTATTCACTTATTTGTATAATGTTGTCAAATGATTTGGACAACGAACTTTGCCAGGCTCATGTAACTTAGTTTCTTCATCTGACAATCCATAACTTTCAAATTTTGGATTGTATAGTATATCCACATAGTTTTTTTTGCAATCCGTAAATGTTGAACTATTCCCTTAACTAAATATTGAATTCCTCATTCTATTTTGCTTACTTCCAAGACAAATCTAGACATCCAAAACTAAAATCTTATATAATCATATTTTCCAGCTCACACAGGATTTTTTGCTCACTATTGTGTTTATTATTCTGCCACACTGACCAACTGACCAACTGACCAAAGCGTTCACAGCCCACTGCGTTAGGTATTTATGGGCACAGCATTGTTGGCACATTCACTGACATCTTTTTGTCACTCGAAATTGAAAAGCGTTTATCATTTTTATCTTCCTCAAAATCCAAAATATCCGAGTACATTAAATCCTTGTTAAATATTTTCTGCATAAATTCTACACTTTGACTAGCTTTAACCCTTTTAATGCTAGACGTAAATCCACTGCCTGTGCTAGACCCTTTTTTGAGGAAAAAAGTGGGTTTGGAACTAAATGCCAAACAGTACTTATGGAAGCTTTTATGAAAATTCTTTTTGTGTGTTGGGATGGACATGATGTTGGGCTAAGAGGAAAAAATAGAATTTTGGAAATTTGCATAATCATGTAGTCACGTGACGTCATGTCGGCCATTTTGGATTTCTCATTTCTCACTAAACCTAACACGAAAACGAATTTTCCTCCATGAAATACTTATGGAATAATGTTTTTTTCATTGGATTATGATAAAGATATATAAAATGAACAAAAATATCAATAGCAGCCATGAGCAATGCCACCACGAACACACGCACCATGTCTCCCGCTGCCATGACCACGTGCAGATTGCAATACATTGTTTTTACTTTCACTTTCATCCTCAAGTCCCATATCATTATCACTATAGTCAGTCAATAGATCTACACGTTCGGGACTCAGGAATTGCCTATGTTTTTTTACGATCCAGCAGGCCAACATTATTATCAACATCAGAATTATCGTCAGAATCTACTGAAGACATACTACATAGGGCTGTCATGTTCATGTTGGGCTTGTTCATCATGCACGGGAGACATAGCCATAGGCGGAAGGTCGCGCAACAAATCACGCATTTCATACTACCAATCACTGTCCTGACTACTATTATTATCAACTAACTGGAAACGAATTATATGTGTATCAGTACCCGCCTCGAAATTGTCCACACTGTATTTGTCAGCGAAGATGTCATTCACGACTTCGCCGAGATTGCATCGTCTACATTGTTACTATGCACTCCGCCATTTTACGGTTTGCCGCTTTGGAACACGTGGAAATATGTTCTAATGTATAGGAAATACAATAGATGGCACTTGCAGCTACGGTGCTAATTCTAGCGGGGGCCATACTGAGTACCCGGTAATACCGGGTATGCACATTTTAACGACATTTTATAATACCCGGTACTACCGGGTAGACGCAATGAAAGGGTTAAATAGTTCTTTGTCATAATCTACATTTTCTTTTTCAACCATATTTTTTACAAACTGACTAGCTCAGATCAGTTCATCGTCCAAATCATTTGACAACATTGTACAAAATAAATGCCAGTTTGTGAATATGTGTTACTCTAAAATGTAATGCACATGCAACTTACGACTTGTTTTCTTTCTTAATTTTGTCATATCAGTCGCAGGACCGATATGGGTTAAACCATTGTCTGATAGGTGAAATCAATTAGGATATATTTAACATTGATGTCGGTATGTAAGACAAATATTACCCTAATACCCTCGGTCGATATTTCACATATCAACCCTCGATGAGAGTAATATTTATCTCATACAATGATAGGATACTTGAAAACCATTTTCGAAACAATGTATAGTGTATTGAAAAAGAATTTACCTGTTTTCTGAATTTAAATGATTTCTCAATATTTGTAAATTTTGAAAATATTGACTGATGTTATGATCTTATGTGTGTTTTTAAAACCATGTTTTCTTCTTTTTTTTGGCAGACATTTAAATGGTTGTTCACTGGAGATGTTTAATCGTCCCTCGTTGATGATAACAGATACATATAATGCTAGTTATACACAATCACGTCGTAGACTTAGAGATGAACAGTTAATGAGTAAGTTAGCTCACACAAGATGTTTAAGCAGACAATATTTTTTTTATGGTTAAACCTTTGTTTTATTGTCCTCTACACTATGATCTAAATTGGATTTTAAACAGATATTCAATGGGTGAGGTCAAATGGAGTGTTGGTCGTTGGAGTATAATAAGAATATTGTACCACTTCTAACTTTTGACCTCAAATAAAGTGTTAAGCAGAAAGGGGGAAACTTACAGCTTCATTATCATTCAACTGTGGATAAAATAGCAAGATCAGACTCTCCTGACAACACCGATTATCGGTTTTGATAAGTTCTTGATTTATTTGTATATAATTGACCCAATAAAATCTGGGATTTTGTGTATAAATCTTAAAGGGCTTTTAATCCTGAAAAATGATATTAGACGAAAAACATAACCACATTTTGTGAAAATTAGATAACACTTGACATCTTACTTTTGACTTGGATAAGGACTTAAGGTGATAATTCCTAGGAGATAGAGGTTCTGTCCTATTGAAAGATTAGGGAAACACTAGAGTGACACTAGTGTTGGATTCACTTCACTTGAGTGAGAGAGAGAGAAATGGGGTTTAACGTCCACTCGACACAAACTAGGTCATTTCAGGACTAACATATGGTTTAATTTTATTTACATAATTCCCTTGCGCGTAGGGGTCTTTAGCAGTGGGAGGAAACCGGAGGACCCGGAGAAAACCCACGAGGTTTGACAGGCGACCCTACTCCTTGTCACGTACAACTGGGGATTCGAAACCATGCCAGTCGACTCAATGACAGACTTTATGATACAGCGCGCGCACGCTAACCATTCAGCCATCCAACCCCCCCTTCACTTGGGTAGTTTAACGCTAAGACTACGCTATAAATCTGTGAGTTAGTTTTAAGGTTTGAAGTAAATAATTAAGTAAAGAAATTAAGTTTTAACTTTGAGAGTCTCAACCGAATCATATAATTACCCACTAATAATGCTCTGATATGTAGATAGAATAAACTAGATATTCAAACTGACCACAAGTTTCAATTTCAAACTTTGATAATATGTGACCAGCTCCCACAAAATCAAACTCTTGGTCATTTTTATTCAAATAGAGCTGGCAGCATATTTGAATAGTCCACAACATAAGCTTTCCCAAAATGCAATTCATTTTGAATTTGTTGTATCATCTGGATTTGAGTTTGGTTCATTCACAGCAACAAGAAGGCATACAGTTTATGCTTTTGTGCCCGTAGTACAAAATGAAGTCGTGCAACAATCGCCTGGTTTTGTGGGAGCAGGTCACATATTTTCAAAAGTGTAATGCTAAATGATATGATAGATTGAAGTTATCTCCCCTGGATTGCCAACTTTTATGTACATTATTAATATTCCTCATGACCCAACATGTCAGTTAGAAATACTATGATACAATTAACTGTATTTACACTAATTCTGATTTTATCAAATTTTTGTTTATTCTATTTTAGCCACCATATTACAGACAATGCGCAATGATGGAAATGTTTTAGTTGCTATGGACACTGCAGGTAGAATGCTTGAGTTGGCCCAGTTACTGGTGAGTTTGTTATATTAGTTTGTTTTCCATGTATCTGGGTTGGTTTTTTTTTACCTCAGATTGTGATGTGTTTGTGTATGTGGCAGGATATGCTTACATATTCCAATACACTTTATGCCACTTGATTTAAAAAGTTATATTATTTTTTGTCAGTTTTTGGGGGGGGGGGGTGGATGGCCGAATGGTTAGTGGTGCGCGCTGTATCATGAGGTCTGTCATTGAGTCAATTGATATGGTTTCGATTCCCCTGTTGTATGTGACATGGAGTAGGGTCGCCTGTCCATCCTTGTGGGTTTTCTCCGGGTCCTCAAGTTTCCTCCCACTGCCAAAGACCCCTACGCACAAGCGAATTATTGAAATAGAAGTGAACAGTGTGTTAGTTCAGAAATGTCATTTCTCTCTCTCTCTTTTGTTAGGTTAAGTTGCTTATTAAGAACGAAACAGCCTCTTTTAAAAATTGTTTTTTAAGCTGTGGTAAAATATGGCGAGTTCAGATGGAAAACCTTGTGACTTTTTAATGTAAGAAACTTACATTTTTTTTTGTTTTTCAACAGGATCAAATGTGGAGAAGTACTGAATCTGGTTTATCAACATATTCTCTTGCATTATTAAATAATGTCAGCTTTAATGTGATAGAATTTGCTAAATCACAGGTGAGGAATATATTTGTATTTATTTGTTATTGGTCTTTATTAAAATATATAAACAATTCTTCTTTTCTTTTTCTGAAACAGCCATTGCTTTACTTACCAATAGAAAGTGGTCTAACACAGGCATAGTGTCTATCCCAGGCTTGTATAGTCAGTCCCGACATGGCCTAGTTTGTGTTGAGTGGGCGTTAAACCCCATTTCTCTCTCCCACTTCTTTTTTGAAATATATACGTACCATATGTTAGCCCTGAAACCAACTTTCCTCGGGATCAATGCGACAATGACTTTGTTAGTAAAGCACTGGCTCGCTAACCAAAAGGTCCTGGGTTTGATTCAGGTGTTTTTCGAGAAAGTTCCCCATCATGGTTTCTCCATGTCAGTGCTACAAGACGGAGAACCTGGCAATGCATATTGTCTAGTCACTCAGATGATACGGCAACCAAGGTTTTGAGTACATGTTGGCATACACATGAAATAATACTTGACAGTTGGAATGCTAAGTAAGAGTAGGTCATAACACAGCTCTCCAGGCAAGATTTCTCCCATGCTACACTGAATGGCAATTGCTTGTCTTGGGGTTTTCTTGACAAAATTTATTGTATTGATGGTTTATATTTTTGTATTAGTAATATTTATTTTTTATCTTGTAAGGTTGAGTGGATGAGCGATAAAATAATGAGAGCATTTGAAGACAACAGGAATAACCCATACCAATTTAAACATTTAAAATTATGCCACAATTTGGCGGAACTTTCACGCATTCCAGAACCAAAGGTAAGTTATATTTATTTACAGTAAAATGTAAGATAACCTTTTACTGGTATATACAAGCAGGCCATACTTCTGCTGTACTGGTCTGTTGTATATGCAGTTCTATGACAGCCTAATTGTTGAGATATATTGTTATCTGAAGATAATACAACATTGTCATACACAAGTCTTGGAACAGAGCAAGTAATGTTGAAATAATAAACTGGTAAAGATGACTTTGGGATGTATTGAAATATTAAGGTCAAATATAAATATCGATTTCGGAAGCTTATTTCGTCAATAGGCAGACGAAGTGACTTATCGTCAATAGGTTACGGTAGGAAGATAAGTCACTTCGTCTGCCTATTGACGATTTAGGCCAAAATAAAAGATACTTTGTGTTTATAGTTACCCAATCGGCCCCCTTCTGTTTAGCCAAAATCGTTGACCCTAAACCTTTTCTCTCTCAATTTTCAGGCTCTATAGCTCAGTATTGGCGTGACTTTCTCTAGACAGATTCCAACATATAAATTTTGGAATTATTTTCAAGAACCTTGTTCTGTAATTAAGCTTGAAATGCTGGGAAATAGATAATACAAACCCCAGGAAAAAAAATAATATGAAAATATAAAAAAAAATTCTGACGAGCCCACCATATTTTTGGGGGCCAAGTAGCCGTAAACACAGGTATTTTTTTTCTTGGCCTTGGCAAAATTACCTGACAGATAAAGCCATATCAAAAGTATATACTGATTCTCAGACCTTCTTTGAGCAGCATTTAGCAATTGACATACGTAATAAACACAAAAACATAATATGGAACACAATTACTATTTTAATTAAAGTGACGTTTCATTGATTGCTCTCTCAACATTTTCAAGCAAAACAAAACTTTACCTTAATTAAAATAGCAATTGTGTTCTATATTATGTTTTTGATTCTCAGATATTGGCATGTCACTTGAAAAGTGCAGCCTCACCTCTTTTATTCTTATCGGTTACTGTGTTCACTATAATTAGTTATTGTTTGTAAATAAACTTGTTTTCAGCTTAGCAAACAGTAACAGTAAAATTTAGATATGTAGCACAAGAATTTGCGATTGTATAAGTAAATTCATTTAAACTGTGTAAAGAAACAGATGATTACATAAATGTAGAACCTTGAAATGGGGATATTAGTGATAAGTCACTAAAGTGATAAGATTTTTTAAAACGATTTTTGAAAAACATGTCTTTCTTTGTGTGGCCTAAATGTTGAATGTCGGATAATCTACTTATAAAATATAAGTACTCACGAAGGGGTGAAATTAATAAATTAAAATTTGTTAAAGAAAATTTTCGTTGATGTTAAGACTTCCAAAAATAATCCATATAAATGGCACAACAGTAAATGTTGAATGTCGGATAACCTACTTATAAAATATAAGTACTCACGAAGGGGTGAAATTAATAAATTAAAATTTGTTACAGAAAATTTTAGTTGATGTTAGAGTTCCAATATATAATCCATATAAATGGCACAACAGTAAAAACAACAATAAATCATTTTTAAATTTTTTTATTTAATTTAACAATAAATTGAGTGATGAGTTTGACAATGTAAATCATTGTTAAGATAGAGCATTCTACTCTTTGTTTACTGTGGTAAATAAATAATAAGCTTGAATGAAATTAATTAAATTAGAAAAAATTCAAAATTTATTATTAATAAGTGCAAAAATATTGTTAAAGGTGTTAAATATGTAGTAGTAACATTATAAATTTGAAAAAAAAAACCAACATAACTTTACCATTTGACACACTATAAAGTATCTATCTATATTAATTGATCACATTTATTATATCTAATTACAAACTACACACTTGCTATTTAAATGATATCTGTTTTCATATAGCGCTGCTTGAGGGCCTTTGACTTATGTTACGCTTTTATAAAACTTCAGCTGTCATTCTGTATCGTCTATCCTTCAGTCATGCTTCTGATTATAAGACACAATACATATATCATAGTATCACCTCAATATTTTATCCCATATGTAAATTAACACAAAATATTGTCTTTATTATTTAAATCACAGGGAATCAAAGTGATAAAATAAAAGAAAAAATGGCTATTCTTCATCTTCGATTATTATCCTTTTCTTTGTCGGAGTGCCGAGCTCTAAAGTATTATTATAACCGGTGGTTCGTGAATATTCCGCATATGTTCCATTCATTTGAATTTTTTTCAAACCACTTCCCAAAAGTCGCCCAAATTCTTTTCTGAAATTGTCATTTAACCAGCCGTAAAGAAATGGATTCACACATGCAGAACTCATCGCAAATATTTTAATCAGTAAATCTGTCAGACGTAAATATTTCAAGGGAATACTTTTGGGGAAAAATTCTGTCACTAAACCAAAGATATTCCATGGTAACCAACACAATGTAAAAGTTAAAACAACAGATATAAGAATCTTATTGGTTCGTCGATTCCTTCTTGTTTCATGTTTTTTGATTGGTCTATTTTTTAATACAACACAGATTAAGCTGTAAAATATAGTTGTTAACAGCAATGGAATCACAAATTGTAGAACAAACACAGATAAGGCGTAGATTCTTTTTGATTTTTCTTCCCATCTTTCAACACAGTAAATTTTATAAAGTTGTATCATTGGTTCGTCAATGATGTCAAGTTTTGTAAATACCATTAATGGAATAGCCACTATTAAAGTTACCATGGTGATTAACACAACCAATAACATGGCTTGAATGTTGGTCATACGATTTTTAAAGGGATAAACAATAAGAATAAATCGATCTATTGCGATGGCAAGAATAGAAAGGCTTGACACAAATACCGGTACACCAAATGTAGGATTGATCACATGACACAGAATGCGACCAAACGCCCAGTTGTCCGTCAATTGGTAGTGAAGTTGAAATGGTAAATTGAACAAACACAATGCTATATCAGCTAATGCTAAATTCACAATAAAAATATTAGTCACTGTGTGAAGTTGTTTATAACGGACTATCACTATGACAACCAGTAAGTTACCGATAAATCCGAACACAATAACGATTACATAAAGTAAAATTATTCCGATCTGCCATCTTTTATCGCGTAAGATGTCAAACTCTGTTTCATCGATTCCTTTGGAAAAGTTAGCATACACTTTGAAATTTTTCAGTAGATCTGCTGTCGACATATTCTCAAAATCCAGAGACAGAAGGCTGTATTCTGCCTCAGCCATTTTGAAATGTCTTAAGCCTAAAAAAACAAAAACAAAAACCTTTTAATAACAAATTTCGCTAATATTTGGGACCTAGAAATTGACACAAATGGGTCGCAACGCATATAATAATGTAATATGAATGTATATAAATTGATTTGCATTCAATCGTTGCTGTTTTTACTGTAATTCTAATCAGTTAGGTTCAGCAAAATACGCCAGTATTCTCAATCGAATTTAAATCTCTAGCGTCTGGTTATTCCAGTCTACGCCGATAGTATTTATTGGGCATGCTCTCCAGATAAGAATATAGCGTCACCGTTTGACATGACTTGTGGAATATGCCTAGCCTCGTTTTTCGAGTCCTTTATTACAAATAGCGCTGAAATGTTTATTTTGTCTTAAATATTGGATATCAGAAGGCCATCTTTTCCCGGTAAAGTCACAACATAAATGTTGATTTGGGGATAACGTGGCTAAGTGGGTAAGACGCTAGCTCGCTAGCCTGGAGGTCGGGTGTTCAATCCCTGCATTGGCCGAGAAAGTTCATCCAGATTTTCCGGCGTGATTCTCCCTTGTCAGTGATGCAGGACGGAGGGGCTGACAAGGAAAGCTGTCTAGTCGTTCGGATGGGACGAAAAACCGAGGTCCCGTGTACACATTGGCGTGCACGTAAAAGATCCCTTGGCAGTTGGAATTCGATATAAGAGTAGGCCGTAGTGCCGCTGTCCAGGCAAAATTTCCCTCATAGCACACTGTATGGCGTATGCCCGTCTTCATTAGCCCAGGTTAGGAGCAGAACAGTAGGACGTTAAACCCCATTTCATTTCATTTCATTTCAATGTTGATTTAAACTGAAAAATAAAACTTGTTTTCAATGTCGAAGATTTCGGATGATATTGAGTTAGAGACTTAGCTACTTTAAAGTTGAATTTTCGGGTTAAAACAATAAATTTAACCCTGTCCAGCTTAGATTTATTTTTTACTTCCAAACATACCATACTATAAATAGTTTTAATATCATTTGATGTCTTTCGTGTAACACAGATTCCATCGTTATTAAAGTAAAGGCTGTCATATCCTTGATGAAAATCCAAATTATGAATTACCTTATTACTGGTACGACAATGGATACAAATCACTGTTTCAACATCATTATTAGCTTTATACTATAGTCCATGGCACACTGCTGAACATTTTTCACATGGACGCTAAAAGAAAAATTACATTTAATTACTTATTCTATTGCAATTTATTAAAGTTATGAATTTTGAAATCGCAATGATTTTTTAAATCAAATAAACATATAAATGGTATTAAATTCTCCCAAACTCATGCATTATCTGTAAAGAGTTTAGGTTGACCGTTTTTCTGATGTGCATCATGCGTTTTCATTCTACTTTCAGTAACAAAGGTTTTTTATTGGTTTTTGAACTTAAAATATTGCACTTTTTTCCTGAGTATTGATTTATTTTGTAGCAATTTCTACATGCATGTTTTTTTGAACAAATTGTTTAATAAATTGAATATTCTCAGTGTTGTTATATCTGCATGATTGCGATTCCAGTTTACAAGATTACATAACTGTTCTTGTTTCCTAACAATTCACGGAAATAACAAACTTTTATCCAAAATTTTGAGAGCTGATTAGTGCCAATCAATAATAGGTCTGATTTTACAGCTGAACTTACATTTCAAACAAACATCATGACAAACAATAGTTTTAAAGGTAATCCTAGTAAGTTTATGAGAAATCATTGATTCTATTCAAAAATACAACAGATGTTGTAATCTCACCACCGATGGACACATTGTCAAAGTTTTATCCAAGTTGTTGTCCCTTGTATAGCTCAATAAATCTATTTAGTAATTACTGTAACTGAATTGTTGAGTTTGACCGAGCATGAGATATTGCGGTTATCTGTGAACAAGATAAGCAGGACTGGCTTACCTACTACTATCACTATTTACATTGATTGAATTTTCTGTCCTTCTTGCTGTTTAGTAAAACTCTTAATATCACTCTCAGAAATTGGCAATACATGTTCTGCATTTTATCAAGTCTATTGAGCAGCTGTCTCTTTTCTCTGTATAGGCTTACTCGAATTATATGTATCACTGTCATAAATATTGCCAATATTATATGTTTCAATAGTAAAGAGCTATTATGAATAATACAGTCATAAATAATATGACATCTTGTAGATCAGAGAGTCAGTGTGTGTACATCCACTCATAACTCATAACCACACATAGTAGAATTAGTAAAGGCCACTGTCATCATTTTTTATCTTTTACTTATCTTTGTATACAGAGGTCTATCTCTTGACATCTTATTGTTACAATAGATATATAATAGATCTAGTTAACATGTACATGTAATTTAGGTTGGGGTCAATAGTTGAAATATCACCTCGATTTTGTTATATTTTAGAGTTTTTTTTATAAGGTACTAATAATAGAGTAGTGATAGGGATGCTTTTAGGTCTTTGTCACTTTGTATGGTTTTCCTGCATTTCATCGTATTATGTTTTCGCTCTCAACAATCTGTAATATAAAAAATAATGTAAAATTATCAAAGTGTAAAATTATAAAAAAAAGATTTCATGTGCTAGAATTACTGAGATTTTGTTTTTATCCCATGTGCTCTGTACATATAAACTGTAAGTCCTGTTATCTACAATGTATGCAAGTTAGATCCCAGGTTTGTACGTGACAAGAATAAGGTCTGCCTACCTAACTATGTGAGTTTCCTCCAGGTACTCTGATGTCCTATGACGGACATCTGTGCACAAGCGATTTAATGAAATAAAAATATACCATATGTTAGCCTTGAAATGACCTAATTTTGAATGAATGTTAAACCACATTTCTCTGTCTCTCCTCTTAGTAAAATGCATTTATAGTTAATTGCATGTACATGTACCTTACTAGAAATGAATTGCAATCCATAGTTAACAAGCAACCCTATCCTGTTCTTCAAGGTGTTATAAGAACAGTTTTTTGACTGTGATGGAATACAATGCTTGATTTCCTTCTTATTCTTAGACCCCCTCATCTTTTCCTCCTTCTTGCAGCTGTCTTTAAATTACAGTTGTATTGACCAGAGGTAAAATAATTACCAAAATATTCTCAGATTTTCCATCATAGTTTCTGCTGTGCTTGTATCAGGTATAATCATCTAAACTGATGGATGTAAAGATTGTACAGGTAAACATATCAGCATATTTACACCTCTAATCAATTACCCATCACTCAAAATATATATCTACAGGTTAAGTTACAGTTTGTGTACATGTTAGATATGCTTTTGCTGAAGTTAGGTATTTAAATGATTAAAACAAATAACATAGGCTATATATCATATGGTCCGGATGTTTGTTGATAGAAATGAGTTAATGTTTAGACATCAACAGACAATTATAAGAAATCAATATAAAGTACATGTAATGTTAACTTTAAATGGCCATAACTTAAATGTATGTAAGTTTTTATCACCTATGTATTTGCATTTTTGTCTTAAAGTCTATAATATTAGCCATTTGTTCTGGAGAATTGAAAAATATGACTACTGGGAGGGTAAATTAGTATTTGATAGCAATGTTTTGTGCGTCCAACCACTTTCACCATGCTCCATGAGCGAAACAGATTAAAAGATGTCTCTACCCGGAATGTATCACTGAAACATTTCTCAATTGGCCTCAAATTCTTTACCAATTGCCCAATTTAAAATTCTAATTATATATTAGTCTTTCAGAAGATTATATTTATAGCTCTGAACACAACTATGGTTTTCCATAAATATAACTAGTGAAATTACTAAATATATAGTAGTGAAATTACTAAATATAAGTAGTGAAATTACTAAATATAAGTAGTGATATTACTAAATATAAGTAGTGAAATTACTAAATATAACTAGTGAAATTACTAAATAGAGAAATTACTAAATATCACTAGTGAGATTACTAAATATAACTAGTGAAATTACATGTACTAAATATAACTAGTAAAATTACATGTACTAAATATAACTAGTAAAATTACTAAATATAACTAGTAAAATTACTAAATATAACTAGTAAAATTACTAAATATAACTAGTAGTGAAATTACTAATATAACTAAAATTACTAAGTATATACTGGCAGTGAAATTACTAGATATAACTAGTAACATTACTAAATTAACTAGTGACATTACTAAATTATCTAGTGAAATTACTAACTGTATTAACTAGTGAAATTTCTAAATATACTAGTGAAATTACAGAGAAGTGTCCAATGGTGCCCCGCAGAGAAAATCCTGTGTGGAAGCTTTAAAACACATATGCAAGTTTCTATGAACTTTATTATTAGTCTATAGTAGAATAAATGTTAAATTGTTTTTTGACCAGCTGTTATTTCAAAAAATGTTAATATCTGATGGTTCCATTCACTGATCAACCTGTATGCTTCCATATTTCACCTTTCATTAATTTTATTGAATTTAAATTAAGTTCATCAAGTTTTAGCATAATAATGATATATAAACATTCCAATTTATATGACAATTTACTGTATATTATTAACTTTATTTGAATTTTAATGATATATTGCTTTGACGTTTGACAACCATTGACATATCCATTTAAGGTTTATATCTAAACTGAAGGGACAAATATACAGGTTAATGAAAACAAATTATAAGTTATGAATGAGAAGGCCATTCTGTTTCAAATTTAAAAATACAGCCATTACAGAGCCATCACTTAACCATAGGTGTGTGTGCTGTTTGTAGCCTGTAGGTAGATAGCTTCATTGTACACCACAGCTATCTCTTCACATTTTAACAACTATATATCAAAGAGTTTTCAGCCATCTGCCAACTTGCATTTGGCAGATAAGGATTTTGTTCTTATTTTATTCCAGCCTATAATTTTACTTTTTCACATCATAATCTTTTAAAATCGTTTTCTTTTTAATCTTATTATCTGCCATTTATTTTTTTTTTTCTTGATGAAATGTCAACTAATCTATTTGGATACTCTTTAGTATGAATTAAGCCTTAGATAATTAGATAATCTCTGAAAAATGCTGATCAGCGGCTTTGAATAAATGTATGTATATACAATGTATGTATGTATATTTTTATGACCGCCAAAAATATTTATCTTAAAAGATATTAAAAAATAAAGTAAAAAAAAAAATACTTCAGCATTTACACCTACACATTTGATTTATTCATTTGAATTTTGTTACCATTAAATGTTGGCAGATTAAATATTATATACATAGTAAATAGTATATCTACATGTATTAATATTAAAAAGGAATATGAAGCACTTCTAAAAGTAATATGCGCCAATAAAAATTCATAATAAAATTTTATTGAAAACGGTATTAAAGGACATTAACTCTATTATTTAGAATATTATAATATATGAAATTGGATCTAAAAGTAATATGCGCCAATAAAAATTCATAATAAAATTTTATTGAAAACGGTATTAAAGGACATTAACTCTATTATTTAGAATATTATAATATATGAAATTGGATCTAAGAGCAGATATTAATGTGATATGAATATATAAAGTTAATGTACAATTCTTCAAATTGAATGGCAGTCGTTTAAGCCTACTTAGTCCTTTTTGCATGTTTTTTGTTATTATTTTGTCATTTGTGAATCAGTCATTACTAATTACTTCTGTATTGTCTTGTAGCATATGTTTTTCTTTGTTGATTACAAATGGCACCCGCAACCATAGAATACACGACTCATGTACTGATTTTAAAATGTACATTATGTCTTAAATTAAATATTAGATATTAGGATCCCATATTTTCACGTCAAGATAACAACATCAATATTTTGGTTGAAATGGACTAAAATATTGAATTCTAATTCATGTTTTTAATTTCAAATTATATGGAAAATATTGAGTTAGAGGTTTAACTCCTTTAAAGGGATAAACATACTGTTGTCTTAAAAGATATTAAACAGAACATTTTCTGTGACTTAAATTTTATTACATCTGTCTTAGGACATGGACGTTCTTTCTTCATGAGTTGGGTCTTTGCCACTCATTTTGACATTTTGGATTATCTGTGCAGTTTTTATTTGTCAGTTGGTGATACACTCTTCATACTGTACAATATTCTTATTGTTGGGGTGTTTTATCGCTAGTTATCACCTCATACTCATAGCTACAAATTGAGATACGTGTTCATGTGCTTACACTTTTTTTCTGTGTTTTTATAGATATTTTTAATATCAGTACAAATACGTCTCAAAGTTAATAAGGATAACTTGGTTGAGCTTGTCAGGTTCAACTGAAATTGTTATTTCAAGTCCTGGATTTTTGATGCTATATTAATTCTAGCTAGGGCTTGTTCATACAACCATCTGGTTACTGGTCTAAATTGCTGAGGGCTAATCACTGTTCCGTTTATTACATTTAATTTCAAGTTAAAACAAATAAAGCATCTTCAGAATAGTACAAAAAATCAAGGTTAATTGCTACTGCATATACAAGATCTCATGGCGATTAAATTTTGAAATATATAGGAAGAAACATCATCTCTCTTTACACTGCACATAATCATGTACCAATAGAAATTTAAAAAGGTCTGTTGGTATTGTGTTTACATGATGTTATAGCTCTGTTCTTTTCTTTTTTTATTATAGACCCCCTTTAAATCAGTTGATGATTTTCAAATTTAAGTGGTGGGGGGTAGATGGACGAATGGTTAGTGTGTGCGTGCTGCATCATAAGGTCTGTCATTGAGTCAACTGGTGTGGTTTCGATTCCCCGGTTGTATGTGACAAGGAGTAGGGTCGCCTGTCCAACCTTGTGGGTTTTTCCAGGTCCTCTAGTTTCCTCCCACTGCTAAAGGACCCCTACGCGCAAGCTAATTATTGAAATAAAATTGAACAAAATGTTCTCGAAATGACCTAGTTTGTGTCAAGTGGACATTAAACCCCATTTCTCTCTCTCTCTCTTTTTCAAATCTAAATTGATCGAAATTAGGAACTGAAAAACTAGTAGACGTATTAAGTGTCTCTGACATCGTTTGACATTTTGTAATACAATGAAACCTGTCGGAAATTGGATAGATTTTCTTTAGTTTATTCTATGAGATATCAGGTGTGAAATTAGACCATTTAGAAATCTAGTCCACTCTAAGTGTCACGTAGCTTTAACCAATAAAACTAATTATAACATACACAGACTAGTTAAAGATGTCCTCCAGGATCTTATAGAAATATCGTAATTACTCGATCGATAGCATTATTACAATAATAGGGCTATAAAAATTTTAATGTGGGCTTGAACCTAATGATGCTTTGCCCGAAAGTATATTGAAAGTACAGTCAAAGTGATTGATAGTTAATTTTGATGAACTTTTATACATCTTTGACATTTTTTTAAATGCTGTTATTTTTAAGTAAAAGGGACCCAATGAACACACTGTCTGTGCGAGTTTAAACAAGTTGGAATATATAGGAACAATAAAAA